CCCCTTACCCCTTACCCCTTCTCCTTACCCTTTACCCCTTACCCCTTACCCCCCTGTTCGTATCACAAATAATTCATAAATGAAGAAAAATATGGCAAAATATGTGAGTTACAATTTCGTTCAAAAAAAAAAAAATGTTCGTTTTGATGAAATCGTAGTTTGAGATTATACACAATCGCGAGAGGCATGTCCGGCCTCCGATTCTGGATGTCCGTGTAGCAGGCGTGGTGGTTCAAAAGGCGGACGACGGAAAAACGTCACGGACCATGGAAAAGGAAATCGCGAAGGCGGGAACAGCCCCTTTCGAAATTCGAATTTTCTTCTTGTGGAGCGACGTGGTGGCGGCGCACAGGCGGGTCGACCGAGGGGCAGTCCACGCCACGCAGGGTTTCGGTTGCCATCGCGTTGCGTATTTCAGCGGCGCCGCACCACCACTGTCTCAAGTGTGGTCGACGCGGCAAAACGAAGACGTCCGATCGACAGTTGTGCTCGCCACGTGGAGACGCGAGGCGGTTCCGTTCTTCAGCGGCGGTGGGCGGACGCTCCAATCGGGGCGGAACATCGTTGGGCCGGGCTGTCTTCCTGACCTGGTTGCAGGCGTCTTCAATCGTGATGGCAGAGGTACACGCAGGTGGGTGGCGGTGGACGTAGTTTTTCGTGTTGGAAGGGCGTAATGGAGGGCTGCGATGGCGATGGCCCTGCTGTGCTGTCGACGACGGAGAAACAGTTGTCGCGGTGGCTGCGGTTGCCGTCGTCCGTCATTTCCAAGTAGAGAGTGCGACCGGACGCATGAAGGCAGCGCTTTCGAGGCGGCGGCAGAGGCTTTTGCTGCAGAGGGTGTTGGACGCCCCGGACTACATCACCACTTCCGAGGCCGTGGTTCAGCTGTGCGCTGCAATTGGGTGCGGTTTGCTTCCTCGGGCGACGCCACGTTGGTGGATAAGGCGGAGAGCTGGCGGGACTTGGGAGGATTTGCGGGTGTGCGATGATGCAACAAACGACTACTTCCGGGAAAAGCTCTGCATGTCCACGAGAGTGCTCATGGAGATCAGCGAAGCCTGTGCGCCTCATGTGCAGCGGCAGGTGACGTTTTACAGGGAGCCACTCCAGCCGGAGCAGATCGTCGCGTACGCGCTATATAGGTGGGCTACAGGATAGTCTTACGAGAACAGCGCATTATCCTTCGGCATGGGCAGGATTTCCGGAGTTCGAGCTGTGCGCGATGTGACAGCCGCTATGTTGAGGGTGTACGCGGACAAGATATCGTGGACGACGGGGGTGCGGAAACACGTCGTGCTACGGGCGTTTCTGGACAAGGGCTTTCCAAACTAGCATGGCGCAGTTGACTGCACACACATCTACGTGGACAAACAGGCGAACGCGCCGAGTGAGAACTACTTCGACCGCAAGCACCGTTTCTCCGTCATTGCGCAGGTGGTGGTGGACGTGGATGTGCGCGTGCTTGACGTGTTCGTTGGATATACGGGGAGTTGCCACGACATTAGGGTGATGCAGCTGTCAAGTTTGTCGAGGCGCGCGGAAGAGGGATTGTTGTTTCGTGGGCCGCTTGTCACGCTGCCGGGAGGGGTGAGGACGAACGGATACATCTTGGGCGACAACGGGTATCCTCCTTCTGAATGGGTAATCGTGTCATACGGAGGAATCAATCAGCACCCAGACGAGAAAAGGTTCAACACGAAGCAGAAGGTCGCAAGAGGGGCCGTGGAGAGGGCGTTTGGGAGGTTGAAGGGGATGTGGAGGCTCTTCCTGCGGACGCACAAGACGAACCTCGACAGTCTGCCGCAGCAGTTCACGACAGTATGCATTCTCCACAACATCCTGCTTGATGCAGGTATCGAGTTCGACGAGAATTTGTTGTGGGAGGTCGACGCGGACGGGGTGAGGCGCCCAGTGGACCTGGGGATTGATCGCCCCCCACAGCCAGTGTCGATGTTGACTTCCACGCGCGAGGCTCACTCGCTCCGCAATGCGCTGGCGGAGCGAATGAAACACATGTGATCCTGCCTACCGCCTGCCTGTTTGTCCCGTTCAAGTCGTGTTCCGCCATCGCCGATTGACAGCGCTTGCGTCCTCCGCTTACACGCGCGATTGCTTCGGACGGTTTGCCTTCACGGACGGGTTCTTTTTAAGTGTTTGTTGTTGCAGTCGACGACAAATTTCTTGTCCAGTCCGTCGAGCACTGGGAGTGACGCGGCTTCACTGTTGTTGTAGTCGCGGCAACGGTGGTCTGTTTGTTTTTTGGCTCTTCATTGTTGTTGTAGCCGACGATATGGTTTTCCCGCGCGATGTCGTGGAATCCTGTATGGGAAAAGAGGTAGTGTGGGGCTGGGGGGGGGTGGGGGGGGGGGGGGGGGGGGGGGGGGGGGGGGGGGGGGGGGGGGGGGGGGGGGGGGGGAGGCGGGGAGGAGGAGAGTGGGAGGTGAGGGCTGGCACGAAGAGGTTCGTGAGCCGGCTGTTTTGCATGCGCTTTAGAGCGCTTATTTCCTTGAACTTGAACTCTGAGTGTTTTTCATGATGTTTGTGTATGGACGTTTTGGTGCGTCCGACTGCCATTCTTCTTTCGAGGGAACATGTTTTTGTTTTTACTGCATGGAACGTTTGTTGTGCATGTCGTCTACGCTTTTCTGCATTTGTCAAATGCACTCTGGAAAGCTTCGTTGTTGCACTAACGACTCACATGCATCGACAAAGAAAAGAAAGAAGAACTCACGACAGATGTGCTTATCTGGCAACTGCGTGGTGACCTTCCTTTTAATAGTTAGATTTTTTTTAATTTTTTTTTTCGCTTCTTTCCGCTGCGCGCGATCATCAGGATTTCACGATGGCATCAGGAACGGAAACACAGGCACGAAGCATAAAAAGATGACAATGAAAGTGTGTGTATAGGTCCCTGCCTCTTTTCCTTCTTATGTTTTGTTTTCTCAGGTATCGGTGATGATAATGATGCCGTGATAACCAAGATCGAATGGAGGGCCGCATACATAAGAAGATGTGGACGAGATTACAATGGCCATCAACGCGTGCGTCACATGATAAAAACACACAGAAGACAAGAAAAGCATGATTGCGTACGCAATCTTAAGCATGCAAACACACGCCATCGAAACACAAACATAAATTTGAGAACATTCATTGAACAACAAAGCAATTTCCCCTCCCTGACGATTTTCCGTTGCTCCTGACTATCGATCCTTCTAGCGTCCCGCACAACACACGGACTGCTCCTGCCATCTACGTACATTTCGGCGGTGTCATCCACCGAGACAAGAAACCCTATTGCGGAGCAAAAGTACAAAGTGCATTCCAATCACAAAATGAAAACAGAAAAAAAAAGGAAAACATCGTTCACAACACATGCACCATGACGACATCCGCTGATGTCGGCACGACGTCTGCTGACGTGGACACACCGTCGGAGCGGCGCAGGACTGCCCACCTCACGCTCTCCGTTTCTTCCCTCAACCACCAACACCCGCCGACACCCATCACGCCCGTGCTGCCCCGTCTGCAGTGGAAGGCGCTGCGTTCGTCGTTTCGTGATCCCCCGCGCCAATTAGTCGACGATCCGCACCCCGCCGCTGCGTTATGGACGAACCGACGTGTCAACTGCCCTCATCTCTGTCTTCCTCCGCCGCGGGTCCGCTGCCGATCCAGTCGTGTTTCGCGGCTTTTGCTGCATTCTTCAGGGCTGCGTTGTCACCGAGCACCAACCCGCAATCACACCATTCCGGAATACAGTGCGGGCAATCTCCCAGCATGAGGTGAGCCTTCCCTATACGATCCAAGACGAGGTTGGCGCTGTCGACGATGTGTCGCCGCCAGTTGAAGATGTACGACCCCGCCGCTATCATTGTGGGTTTGGTGACCATGGACACGTACAAGCACGCGTCGCAGTGCGAACGGTCGTCGCCACCACCCATGCGCATGATCCACATGCACGCGCTCAACAACGCTCGAAAACAATCCGCAAGCCGAGACAACCTCTCCTGTTTCACGCGGCCGCCGTCCGCCCATTGTCCACACCACAGTGCATCTGTCCAGCACTCCGCGACGCGAAGAACAATCACCTCCTGCCGCGCCGCCATGTCGTCGTCTTGAGGCCGATCCATAATCTTCAGGCCCGCGAACCATAGAGGCACGTCCATCTTCATCGCCAGCATGTGGTAGACGAGTGCAGGGGAAATCACATTCGACCATTCCTGTCCCTGCCAAACTGCTCGTGTGACGTCTATAGCAATGTCGACGCTGATGTATGACTCTGCACGAGCGAAGCCAGACGACCTCGACGACGATTTGAAGATCCAGCCGTGGATGGCGCGCAACACCATTTTTTCCACGCTGCGCACTCTGCGCAAAGCTGGTCACGATGCGCAGGGTCCTCGATCTTGAAGCGTGGAACGTCGTACGGCGGCATTATGAGCATCGCAGGCGGCTCAGCTCCTGCGTCTCCATTGGCGATGGTGACAAAGTAGTCCGCGCACTCGCCAACCGCCTCCCTCAAGGGTTTCCCTGGGCCCTGACCCCAGAAAGAGTCGCAATCAACCCACAACTTCAACCTCTCCTCCATACCGTCCTCCTTTGCCGCTCCCTTCAACCTTGTCACAAGTGGAAGGTCGTCGTCGTCATCGCCCTCCCGCTTTCCATCTCTTCTTCCTTTGTCGCGGCGAACGCCGTCGACCCTCTCCTCGGCCGCACCTTCGGCGAGTCCGCTTCTAGTGCTGTGATCCGCTGCCGCCGTCCGAGTGCTGCTCGTCGTCGCATCGCCGTCGGTGTAGGTTGGCGTTAAGAGATGGTCGCCGAGGGCTCGCTCCGTGAGAAAGCTCATGACGATGGTGGTGGGGACGGAGTAGGGGATAAGGCAAGAGATGTAGGGGAAGAAAATGTCGATGGAGAGTCGTTGCCTTTTTCCGAAGAAAAAGATGGCGCAGGGGTGTGCCATGAGATGGGGAGGAAGGAAGGGGACGGAGGTAAGACACGTGGTGAATGATCGGCCGTGTCGATCGGCTCCCCGAGACCTCCGGCACGAGGCGCACGGTGTTCACTCCGTTCGGTCCAAGCTCGATCACTCGGAATCGCCCGAAGAATCGTGGCGCTATCTTACCTTGGCGAACACATTTCCTTACCTGCACCGAGTCCCCTAATTTGTACTGGGGCCGCGGACCCACGTTCCCGTTCCGGACCGCGTAACTACGGACCTGCCTGCCGTGGGCAACCTCGATCATTTTCTGTCGCTTTCGGGCTAACCGGGGCAGGGATCTCTCCATCAGTTCCAGGTGTCGCTTGGCCTTGTCTTGAACCGTGGCCCTTGTGGGCCGTCGGTTTAACGAAGATTTGTCTAGGAGGCTCGGTACTGAAACACAAGCCACGCTATTGGTCCTGAACTGAAACGAGCTCAGGCCCGTAGATTCGTGGGGCGTTCCTCGATGGACCGCCAAGATGTGATCTACGATATCGGACCATGGCCTGGGATCCTGTGCCGCAATATTGTGTCGTAGCGCAGTCTTTATCTCCCTATTTGCATTTTCTACCAGCCCGTTGGATTGTGACATGTGGGGTGCGGTGTTTCGAATAGCGACACCGTGTATGACCAGATTCCTCAAGACTTCCCCCCTGAATTCTACTCCATTGTCGGTCAGAATTTTCTCTATGTCTTGGTGCATCCCTAAAAACCGATTGACGTATCGCGCAATTTCGGTCGCCTGTCGCGTACGACAGGGATACGCCTCAATCCATTTCGAAAAATGGTCCACGAACACAAGTAGGATTGAATACTCACAGCTATTGGGTCCAGGGGGCACCACTATATCGGTAGTATCCATGCTAACCCTTTGAAAAGGCCGTTCGACTACTCTCGGTACTATCGATCTAGGCGGCTGAATCGGCGCCTTATCGGCGGCACCGACTTGACAGTTCACGACGCTGAATTTCACATCGTCACGAATATTGGACCAATACCACTCGTTTTTGTCGATTGCCGATTCCGTAATCCTAACGGCAAAATGGGCAGCCGTTTCTTCATGCGCTGTCTTTAACCAGTCATACCTCATGAACGGGTGCGGTACTACCATCCAAATCCTACTACCGTCCGTTTTCCGTTTTTCCAACCGTCCTTCATTCTAGCGGTAGTCCCGACTCCCGAGCCCTTTCATTGACCCTCCTCCAATCTTCCTTGGTGAAGTCCTGGAGGGGGTTACCCACTAAAGTAGCAATCAAGGCGATATCATATCCGTCCATACTTCGGCCGTTCTAAACCTCCGGGTCTTTTCCAACCCTTCTGACGTGGCTTCTGAAAAGCGAGCCTCGGTCGGGATCTTATTAACCCGACACAAGGGGCACAACCAAGGCTTGTTGTCATTTCGGTATTGGATGCACGAGTCGTGGGCCCGTGCGACGCACTGTCGACAATCTACCCATTTCGCATACCATTCCCCATTAGGGCGCATAGAAACCGAGTATACGCGAGAAATAGCAACAAAATTTATCAGGCATGGAGAGAAGAGATAAGGAGGAGAGAGGAGAGAGAGGAGTTACAGGATTACCTCCGTCACCCATTGCCACCGGCCCGTTTCTTGCCACGTGGAAGGACTACCACTTGCACGTACTTGGGCTCGTTTGTTGATTCTGGTTTCTTCCACAGGATGATCTCCTCTGCCTTAGGTACTTTAGCTGGTCGATGCAGATGAGTCAGTCCGTTCGCGTTGTCGTGCCTCTCCGTCTTCCAGATGATGTCGAGGTCGTACTCTTGTAGGCGCACTGCTTATCGTCCAATCATGCCCGTATAATTGGTAAGTTTCTTTAGCGCTAACAGGGGCTCATGATCGGTGACAAGGAGGAACTTATGTCCGTACAGATACGGATGGAAGTGTTGGATTCCCCACACTACCTCGTAGCATTCGCCTTGTGGAGGTGAGTCGTTCTTTCGCTTGTCAGGTACAGTTCGCGATGCATATTCGATGACATGCTCTCGACCATCGTTCCCCTTCTGTGCTAAAATAGCGGAAATAGCCTCCGGTTACCAGTCCGTGATGAGAATGAGCTGCTTCAAGGGGTCCGATCGGATCAAAATAGGTGTCGTTGCGAGGGCTTCCTTAAGGGTCGCGAAGGCCTGCTCGCACTCCGCGTCCCAACTGAGGGGCTGGTCCTTCTGCAACAGATTTGTTAGGGGTCGCACAATCACGAGAAAGCCCTTGATGAACCGTCGATAGTATGAAGCTAGCCCCAAGAAGGCTCGAACCTGTGTTAGTGACATGGGAACAAGAGCTTCTTTCACCGCCGCGACCGTCCTCGAGTCAGACCGCAATCCTCCACGTGTCACAATGTAACCCAAGAACCAAATTTTCGAAAGGAAACATTCGCTCTTTTCGAGCGCGATCTTGAATCCGGCGTCTCTCGAAGCACCCAATGTCCACTCGATGTGTTGCGCATGCCCGTGATACGTCTTTGAATAAACCAGGATGTTGTCCATGTACACAATGACGCAGAAGTTAATCATTCCCTGCGTTAATCGCGTCTTGTAGACGAAGTTCTGAAACGTGACGTTCATGGCCCGTTGAAACGTGGCCGGTGCATTGAAAATCCCCATAGGACATCGGACCCACTGCCATGTGCCTTCAAACAATAAGAAGGCCATCTTCGGTCGATCTTCCTCCTTAACCAGAATGTGATGGAAGCCATGCCGAATATCAAACTTACTGAAATAATTAGCATTCCCAATCGCATCCAGCAAATCATCAATCCGGGGGAGGGGATACACATCTTTGATCGTGATGTCATTCAGCTTGCGATAATCGATGCATATGCGAATCGATCCGTTCTTTTTCGGTACTATTACTATTGGGAATGACCAAGGTCTGGTGGCAAGTTCAATCCAACCGCTTGCTTCGAATTCTCGAATCCGTTCGAGAGCCGTTTTCCGTTCCACTAGCGAATATCTGTATGGTTTGCAGTGAATTGGGGAAAGATTTCCCGTCTGAATCTCGTATTGTATGACTCGTGACAGTCGCATATCCGTGTCTGTCACACTAATCGCTTCTTTATATTCTTTCAGAATGTCCGCGATTAAGTGATGGATCTCATCAGGCACGTATTGGGGTACGTGCAACTCGTAGGGCTCACCCCATATTCTTACATTAATGTATTTGGTGTTTGTTCGCTTACTGTTCTCCGGTGGGGGAGCAAAGATAATCGAGTTATCAGACCACCAGGAAAACACTGTGGCCATCATCTGTGCATCCTGTTCTCGGATGGTTGCGTGTTCTTCCGGTGTTACCCCGTCTCGAATGTCTTGCCACGACACAAGTTTGGTTGCGATCTTGATCCCGAGTCCGCTTTCGAGGCGCTCAGGGGGTTCCAAAGAGTTGATCTCTGCCCCCAATCGTAGCAATCGGACTTCTTTTGCGCGGGTCAACAGAGACTTTGGGAAATCTGTGATATCGCAGTAATGTCTTTTGTCATTGTATTGGGCGAGAAGAGGGGAGATCCCTTCGTACAGGGTTTGAGGGGGTTCCAAAGAGTCGACCATCCTCGAAATCTGTGCGAGAGGTTATCCCATAATCATCGCCTGTGTTCTCCGTAAATCTTGGTTAGTTCTGCTCAGGACTTTGTCATTCGTTCGCTACACGGGGTAATAAATACGTTCTCGTGTCATTTCCAAAATTACGAGATCATCATCGTCGTCACTACTTTCTGCATCCTTGGATGTGTCCCATTGTCCCAGATAATCACGTGAAGAACCCGTGTCATTGCAGGGGAAACTAGTGGGGCTACATTAACCGTGGTTCGCAGAGTCAGTCTCATCGGTACTACATAGGGTTTTCCACCTGTATTTCGGAGGATAATCGATCATCTTTCGAAATCCAGATTGGCTCACAACGCTATTAGGGCGGGAAGACCAAAAAGATTGTCGTAGGTATTAATGTCCAGGACCACGACATCGCCCAAAGCGTGCACTTTTCCTAATCAAAAGGCAACATTAGCCATTCGTCCCACCGTTTTGATCTTTTCTTCGTCCGCTGAGACGAGCTGATCTTTTTTTGTGAGCATGATTCGATCGTTCTTTTTCCCTGCTCTTTCAACTACTCGTAGCGAGATAGCCAAAACAACAGCTCCTGAATCGATGATAGCATTGTATGGAATTCCCCAAACCTCAATGTCACATTCTGTGGATTTCCATGGAATGGGTTTAATCCGTAGGAAGTGGTCATCTTTCTGTATCAGCCCTATGCGTATGGGATCGGAAACGCCTGCGGCATTTTCATCCGGTGTGGGTCCTTTCGCTTTCATGTTCGTCGTTCGGGCAAGAGCGAATCGTTTTCGATTAGCTTTGCAGTGTTGCAACATTCATTCGTTAGCCTGTTCTGATATAGAAAGCAGATGACCGATTGGAAGAGGAATCCGATGGTCTAATGCTCGGACGATGTTCAAAACATCGATCTCGCCCGTGAAGAAGGTGGGTCCTCCCGACTCCATCTCTCTTGGAGAAGGTCGCCACTCTCCCACCTCTTTCTGTTTTGGCGCAGGTCTGATCGTGCCAATCATTTCTAGCCCTGGATATCCAAGCGATACATATTGATCCAACGGAATGAGCTTGGTGGCCTCTTCCGTGGTAGGCTGGTAGCTAACGCACTACCCCGGCCCTCCATTTCTTCCATCAAGGCTCCTACCCATCCCGGTCCGTTAGCGATGGGAGCAGCTGCCATTGGAACGACCCTGACCCTCGGTTGTGGGGATTGATGGGGACAATCTCAAGCTAGGTGCCCAGGTTGATGGCATGCGTAACAGACGTTCAGATTGCTTGCGGCTCCTCCGAGAACAGGTGTCGGAGCCAGTCCTTGTTGGATCGGCGCGGCGCGTACTGCGATGGGTCGCATACTCCTCATCATAGCCTCCAATCGAGCATTATGCTCTCGTTGTTCCTTTTTGCTTTCCTCGATTAGGCTAATTAACGTTTTGGTCAGTTCCAAAATGGCGGTCGATTCATTCGTCCTTGCATGGTTCTCAATCGGTGGCG